TAGACAAAAAGCAAATAGATAAATAATAAGCAGGATATTGTAATGTATCTTTTTTCATGCAATATTCTGTTTTTCATTGTTAAAAGTCTGATAACGTTAGAAATATGAACTGTATGTATGCACAATTATTTAAAGTCTTGATGTTACAAATATAATATAACATAAGACAATGATCCAGACGATTTTAACAACGATTTTGGCCGTATACGTTCAAGTTTTAATTTTATTTTTTAAAGTTATTTATAAATTCCTTGACATATGTCTAAATTAATAAAAGAAATCAAAATTATAAAATATAATCATTGAAAATATTCTACCTAATTTATCACAATATGGCTGTTACTATAAAATAGAAGATTTTCATTAATTTTATCTGGCATTAGATAACAAAAAAAAATTATATATACATGTACAGGGGAAAACATGAAGGTTTTTAGCAGCTTACCTTTTCGGCGTGGAAATAATCTCAAAATATAATCCATCGGGATGCCAAAAATCAAAATAAATGTCAACATACCTGTACTATTTCTCACCTGGGGTCAATTGTAGCCTCGAATACTACCTGGTTCTAATGAAACGCATCTACAAGTATTTATTTTCGGGTTTTTGTTCTAACTTGTTTGAACAATTCTATCAAAGATTTAATTCAAAATACATTAAATACATTAACGAATTGTACGATTTATGGATTCAAAAATCATCTTGAATGTTAAAAATAATTTCAAATAAATCAATTTAATGAAACAAACCCCTACTTATGCTTGTTGATTTTTTTTCATTCGGACCCATGTATTAATTCATGTTTATGCAGAAGTCCTTTAGGGATATACGATCCTTAGCCAGGAAGGATAACTCTTTAATTTATATTTTAATTCAAAAAGTATTAAAATAAACATCAAATTCAAATTTTGTCATGCAAAGAATTTCATTTTATGCGTTCTACGTATGATTCAATGGTCTTTTACGTTTTACAAATGTTGTTTAAAAAATTGACATTTGTACCTCATAAAATGAAGTAAAACTTGCATATTTAAAAAAAATCATTTTTATTTTAAATTAGCCTTAGTTACTAATGTTTATATGCATGATTTGAAATTAGAAGTGATTTACAGTGTTTTCTTTGAAAGGAAAAACTTCATACACTATGCATTATGAAACACTGGAAGTAAGAAGGAGAGAGTAAAGTCCAAATAATTGTAAAATTCATGCAATTTTCTTTAAAAGCCTGGATACCTATGATTTTTATTCCTAAAATGTATTTCTTGATCAATTATCAAGTAAAAAATATGCAGTAGGTAGTTCAAATCGCATTTCCTGAAAAAAATATTCGAGATTTACTACTTTCCCTATATAATATGATTAAATTTAAAGATGAATTTTTAAGAACCAAATATGGGTAAATACATTTTAATTTAGAATTTAGAGACATCTTTGTAAGCATTTTCAATTACTCAATGCCTGATTTTCAGAACATGAGGATCGGATAACCTTAATAAACAAAAAATATACTGCACTTATGGTACGCGCACTTTCGGGTCATCGGGTTTTCTACGTAAAGGAAACAATTTCATTGATCTTAGAACGGAATGAAATAGTTCGAAACATTCTAAACTATGAAAATTAGCTCGCAATATTTTTAACGGTATCTTACTATAAAAATAAAAAGAGTCGTTGATCCGCCGTGACCATGCAAGACTAATAAATACACCGAATCAATTTGGATAGTATTACTACGGTAATCCATTTTAATCCATACGTCTGTAATTTTGTTTAAGAATTCAATATTATGCTTGGCTATTTGTTAGATCTTGTTTAACTAATTTTAAATTGGTTGCAGACTTTCGAAATACCGCTCTTCGTATATGCCTAATATGAGATTACCGGGTCAGTGTAAAATTATTTATAAGGTTTAACAATTCATTTGCTGATCAAATCTATTTTTTCTTGTTATTGAAATGGTTCACACAAAGTTTAATAGCAATAACTTATGATTCTTTAGTGGGAAAAGTCGCATTTCACTCTTTAAATATCTGTTGATTAATTTTTCTGTTTTGTATAAAGAAGAAGTATTTAACCATTCAATGTTTGTTAATAAATACTGTTATGGGTCAGAATAACCCTAAATGCCAGCGAAAGATCAATCACACAGTTTAAACTTAACAAAGTTCAAGAATGTTCTAGAAAAAATGACCAAACATAATGACCACTCTGGAATGTTCAAGAAACTTAATGTTACTAATAATATACATGATGAAATAATACAAATACACACATCTCACAACACTTCCAAATACTAGTGACAATTGGCAAATGTTGTTTTTGAAAACAAAGGCTGTGATACATTATTTTAAAGCAAACGAAAAAAGAATGTTGAAGCATTTGAAAGTTATAATAATTTTAAGCATTGTAACAATATTATATATAATTCGTAAAAATTTTGTCTATCTCATCATGAGTCAATAACTATCTCGCGAAAATAAGGTGTTGCGAAAATTTTGTGATCTACAATATCCAGAATAATTTCCAATACTGGTTACATTACATTACAATTCATTTGTAAAATATTTGATAAGAATCTTGTGACTTGTCTTTCTTTGTATTCATTTTAATTTTGAGTAGTGCATTCGGAGTGATTCGTTTCACACTTACATATTTACTGGATCCGCCTACGTCACCGCCGTCAGTATTCCATTTCATCCATTGATAGGATACATGTGGGTCATTCAAGGAAAGACATACAAACACCACCCGTTCTCCCTCCATCACCGTGGTATTCTGTGGCCCCTTCACCATCAGAGGCCAGACGGGGGATTCTTAATGTAAAAATCCGATATTATTTAAAATTTAAAGGCAAATTCTCTGTCCTGTTCCTTAAATATAAAATCTAATTTTTAATCTTTCTCTTTTGGGGGCTGGGGGTGATTCAACGAATTAATCATTAGATATAACTTACTTTTTTTTAGATACGATATCTTAGGCTGTCAACTACTTAGTATCAATTTGAGAAAATTTAGAGAAAATTCATACATTTTAGTTTTAAAATTTGATCATTTAGTATATCTGTATATGGAGCGCTTCTAAAGGAGATCAAAATATTCTGAAAATGGTCACAACCACACAGCCCTCTAAATCATCTTCTGTTTTGAAAAACTAAGCAAACTGTACGTTCTGACCTATTAGGAACTAATATACCCTTACCTTTAACATCCAAAATGAATGTGAATTCTAAGCTGCCCTCAGAATTTTGGACCACACATTTGTATTTCCCACTGTCCGATGTCTGTACATCATTAAGACTCAAGGCAAAGTGCCTGACCTTTGTCTTAAATCATGCCAAATAAAACAATAATTTACATCAATACAATATCTGTAGATCATTCAGACTCAAGACAAAGTGTAAGAAAATAGTATACATCAATACAATGTCTGTACATCATCAAGACTCAAGGCAAAGTATAAAAAAAATAATATGCAAGAATACAATTTTGTACATCATTAAGACTCAAGGCAAATTGTCTGGATTTTGTCTGAAATTATAGCAAATAATGATTGATTGATTGTATATTGTTTAACGTCCCTCTCGAGAATTTTTCACTCATATGGAGACGTCAACGTATGCTGGTGAAGGGCTTTAAATTAGGGCCATTGAGCAGTAAGGGATCTTAATCGTGCCAACGCCTGTCGCTGACACGGGGTCTCGGTTTTTAAGGTCTCATCCGAAGGACCCACAACTTTCACTTCAAAGTGCCCGAGCGCATGGCGAGGGAACAGTTGCTACCCATTTTTTATTCACTTAGGTCACTCGGGGCCGAGATACGAACTCTCGACCTCCCGATCGCGGATTATAGAAAATAAAACAATAATATACACCGATACAATCAAAGATGAAAATAGTTATTTAAAGACAGACATTTTTAGCACCACCTTCAAAAATACCTGGTCTAGGTAGCCCTGTGAATCAAGTGCTTGAAGGTCCATCATTGGATGCTGGAACTTGATTGACATTTACTTACTTGTCACTGTGTACATCTTGTATGGGACTCGTGGGGACCTTCAAATTATTTTTTAATACTTTGATGTTTACCGAACACGGTTATTGGTATAGAGACTGCATTACAATGAAAAATTTTTGCTTGATTATATGTGAATTAAAGATACCTTTAGTATTTAGAAGGATTATAATATAATATACATTTTTCAAAAAAATATATATTAAAAACTTTTACTTTTTTTTCTTAATGAAATTTTGATTTTAATTTTAATATGCTAAACGGTAATGCTAGAGTGGAAATGTTATTGATTACCGGTAAGTTTAGAACAGCACTGTGTGAAGTAATTAAATTTGGAAATTATTCATGAATGTTTCTAATCATGGGTTTTTGAATATATTTTCCTTGTTATTCAGATTTCTTTCAGAAGAAGTTAATTAACAAGCAATCTCATTGTGACAAAGCCTTATTGATTACAGATAACGGTAACATGGATATAAAACCCAAAAAAATGTTTAATGAAATATCCCTTACTTTAGTTTCTTTTTTAATGGATCGGACCCTGCTCTGGGGATAAATGAACTAATTATAATTTGGTTGTTACTGGCGTTTTTTTTTTAAATCAAAACATACACTAACATCTAAAACAATCTTTGTTTTAATATTTGAATTAATATTATGATATCATAACATTTTTTAAATGGGTAGGGTTTTTTTTAAATTTTCAAACATAAATCAATATACTATTAGATTTTTTTAGACTTTTCTTACAACTCATCACTTCTAATTTAAAATTGCCTCAAAATCCCCAACACAGGTAAAGTTTGACACTTGTGGTATTTCACTGTGTATTAAATCACTTCCTGTGTATAGGGATTAGAAGACAGATGACCAAAGGTAGACTGCTAGCCACCAAGGCATTCACACCTGTACAAAATAAGCCCCTCCCTCACCTGGAATTTACCAATCGGTAAAAAATCTCCGCCTTTAAAACAGAATTTTGGGATAAAGAGGATAGGATAATATATTTTTTTTTTTACTAATCGGTAACATCGGAGATAACGAGAAGTATTCAAGCTCTAAAATCCATTTCAAACAATTCAAATGAGGATCAGCGCAAACACAGAATTATTCAAGTTCAGAATTGGTGAAAATTTGAATTTTAACGTAAATATAAAATATGATGCTCATTTATTTACACCTAATTTCGTATTTTTATTTAAAGCTCAGATACGCCTTATATAGCTTTAACCTTGCCCTGAAAAGATTGAGATCCTTTTGAAATTCTGGAATCTCAAACCTTTGGTCTCTGACTGGCATCGATCAAGTTCTCCTCTTTGTACCAGGTTGTTTTTGGCTTTGGGTTCCCGTATGCTGGACAACGAATTCTTACGTTGCCTCCAACTGATGCGACAATCATATTATCCCCCTTAAAAGGTCTTGACTTAGGTTTCCATCTTGGGGCTAAAAAAGTAAAGATGATATTTATAGAAGAATGGTGATAATAATATGAGAATGGTGATATTTATTTGAGAATGGTAATATTTATATGAGAATGGTGATGTGCAAATGAGAAAGATGTTATTTATATGAAAATTGTGATATACATATGTGAATTATGATATTCATATGAGAAAGATGGTATTCATATGAGAATGGTGATATTTATATAAGAATGGTGATATCTATATGAGAATGGTTATATTTATATATATGAGAATAATGATATCTATATGAAAATAATGATATCTATATGACAATGGTCATATTCATATGAGGAATATGATATTTATAAATATGAGAATGGTGATATTTATATGAGAATGGTGATATTTATACGAGGATGGTGATGATAACAATCCAGATCTTGTTTCTTTTATCGGATAATTATTATGAATGAACTGTCATATCATTTTATATTTTGTATAATTTTACATTGATTATATACTATTATTTTAATTAACATTTTTAGCTCACCTGAGCCGAAGGCTCAAGTGAGCTTTTCTGATCACATTTTGTCCGTCGTCCGTCCGTCTGTCTGTCTAGCTGTCCGTCCGTCCGTCTGTCTGTCCGTCTGTAAACTTTCACATTTTCGACTTCTTCTCAAGAACCACTGGTCCAATTTTGACCAAACTTGGTACAAAGCATCCTTGGGTAAAGGGAAATTTAAATTGTTAAAACAAAGGGCCAAGTCCCCTCACAAGGGGAGATAATCAAGAAAAGACAAAAATAGGGTAGGGTCATTAAAAAATCTTCTTCTCAAGAACCACTGGGTCAGAAAAGCTGAAACTTATATGGGAGCATCCTGGTATAGTGTAGATTCTAAATTGTTCAAATTATGACCCCCGGGGGAAGGGCGGGGAATCAAAGTTTTACATAGAAATATATAGGAAAAATCTTTGAAAATCTTCTTCTCAAGAACCACTGGGCCAGAAAAGCTTAAACTTATGTGGAAGCATCTTGGGGTAGTGTAGATTCTAAATTGTTCAAATCATTACCCCCGGGGGAAGGGCGGGGCCACAATGGGGAATCAAAGTTTTACATAAAAATATAAAGGAAAATTCTTTGCAAATCTTCTTCTCAAGAACCACTGGGCCAGAAAAGCTGAAACTTATGTGGAAGCATCCTGGGGTAGCGTAGATTCTAAATTGTTCAAATCATGACCCCCGGGGGAAAGGCGGGGCCACTATGGGGAATCAAAGTTTTACATAGAAATATATAGGAAAAATCTTTGAAAATCTTCTTCTCAAGAACCACTGGGCCAGAAAAGCTGAAACTTATGTGGAAGCATCCTGGGGTAGTGTAGATTCTTAATTATTCAAATCATGACCACCGGGGGAAGGGCGGGGCCACAATGGGGAATCAAAGTTTTACATAAAAATATAAAGGAGAAATCTTTGAAAATCTTCTTGTCAAGAACCACTGGGCCAGAAAAGCTGAAACTTATGTTCACATGGAAGGATCCTGGGGTAGTGTAGATTTCAAGATGTCTAAATTATGATCAGTGGGGTAGGGTGGGGATGCATTATGTATTACAAGGAGGAAATCTGGTAAAGAACAGAATGGTCAAAAAACTTCTCAGGTGAGTAATGTGGCCCATGGGCCTCTTGTATAATTTTATATTGTATATTTTTTCATTTGTGCTACATAATCTTATATTTGGATTCTAAATTATTCAGTGGGGTTGGGGATGCATTTGTATTACAAGGAGGAAATCTGGTATTTGAATGGTCAAAAAACTTCTCATATTGTTTTCCTCTTGTATAATTTTATATTGTATATTTTTTTCATTTGTGCTACATAATCTTATATTTGGATTCTATAGTTTTCATTTTGGGTTGTTTAACATTTATTTGCATTCTATATTGTTTTCCTTAACATTGACTGGATGGGAATATGGCTTAAATATTTCACAGGTGTATTTGTTATGACGGGAACTTTTTAAGGTACCATCAAATTTGACCTTTTGACCTTGACCTTGGAATTTGACACACGCATATATCACATATACATGTATATTCTTTGTGACAAAACCTTCCATTTGATACCAACAACTTTTAACTTTTGACTTTGACCTTGGAGATTGACCTACTTACAAAAATTTTAACCTTGGCCAAAACTTTTGAACGGTAAGGGCTAGAGCATTCATACTTGGCATATATAATCCTTGAGACAAGACATTTAATTGAAAACCAACAACTTTGACCCTTTGACCTTAACCTTGGAGTTTGTCCAAATTTTAAAAAACTTCATCTTTGGCCATAACTTTTGAACGGTTAGGATTAGGGCTTTCATTATTTATGTAAACTTATTAAATCCGTGTGACAAGAACCTTTCTTTAAAAACCAACAACAACACATATATTTTGTATGAAATTAATCTTCCATTTATAAAATTTCCTGTTCAATATTAGCAAGAAAAGAGTGAGTGAACAAGAAAACACTGATGTTAAGGTAAGTATTGAGCAATACTATCTTGTTTAAAAAGAAAGGGAAAATGCTACCTTTATATCGTTGGATATTTAATGTTCAATATTTTTTTAATGAAAATAAACAATAAATTCATTTCTCTTCAGATTGTATTCATTTTTCATTATTATAATTCACGCATAATGATGATTATAAGAATAATACATTTTTTTAATAAAAAAGTCTTTAAATCTAAAATAAATACCCAAAAAGAAAACAAAATTCATTGGTGACATTTTAATTTTCAGCCAAAAAATTAATGTGTTGTTTTAACTTACAGACTTCGATAAACGATCTAAATGAAAAGGTAGGACATATATGATTCTGAAATCATTTTTATTCTGACGATAATTTATCTATATTATAGTTAGTCATTGTATATTTCTATATGTTGAGTTCCCTGCATTAATCAGGGAAATCGCTGAAAATTATACATACTTTTTTCAAAAACAGTCTATATGTATCTCATACCTAAGAAGATACTACCCGTGAAATAAACATATACTTTATACACCGACAGGTGATTTACAAATACATGTATTAGTTCCAGCTTTGGCAAAATCCCTCCCATCAAGATTTTAGTCACCGTGAAACTACAATGGATTTACAAGTAGCCTAACACCGTTTGCAATGCCATCGTAGAAACAAATGTTTCAGATAAAAATCACGATCGCTCGGCCACTACAATTTTGTTTCAAAACTTCATTTTTAAAAAAATCTTCAACAAATCTTCTGGTATATTTAAAAGACGCAGATAAGATGGAATGTATATTTTATAATCGATATACTTTCTTTCGGCGTGTCAACATCAACAGCACAGCCTCTTCAGTTGCAAATCCGATAGAAATCATTCATAAAGTTTCAAAGGCGATATCTTAAAGCTTTGTAAAAAAGAAAACAGAAATCGGTAAATCATTAATAGAACATCGTATAAATAAACATAAATTTAAACTCTTTCGATGAAGCTGATATCAAATCATACAATCTAAATATCCATTATGTATAATTCTGGTCTGTTATTTTTTTAATATTTTGCAAGAATTACGTTTTTTTGGGTAGGGGTTGGGTGTTTAATTCCGCAAGAGAAGTGATTTATCTTATCTCTATTATAAAGATCTTCATTGAATAACATCCTCGTTTCAAAGCGCAAGTTATGGTTGGTATAAACATTGACACCAATTGACGTTTTAAAAAGTGTGTTTGCATTTTATAACACATCATGATAAAGTTAAAAAAAAGAAAAACATGTAATTGTGCCATTTATGTCCATATTAATACCCATCATTTTTTGCGCGTTGAACAGCAAGCATGTCCATTAGAAGAATTGGGGATAAGTATGACTGAAATTAAATCGCAGTATGATAGTGATATACCACTATTACAACGGTGTTTACCTTTTCAATGTCGGGATGATATCTCAAGTAAAAGCCCAGGAATAAGACAACTGATATATACTATTTATCAACTTACACTCTGAAACAAAATCAGATTTTCCAATGACATTAAATGTAATAACTAAAAGATATATTAATTATTTTTCACAGATTCAATTCCTGTTAACGGAACTGAACACCATTAAGGTATGTACATGTTGATAATAAATAACAAATTATGAAAAAATAATGCAATATTTTATGCAGATATACAATTTTTTTCAATCTAGTATAAAAGAAAAAAAAAAACAATTGATTTATGAATGTTTACAAAAGAGCAGTCATTTAGTTGTGCCAATAAGTACGTGTCTATTTTATACAAGAAAACCAAGATTTAGAGTTGTATTTTAGAGTCTTTCTGCACCTAGAGGAATCAAAACATCTGTGAAAGAAGATCATTAGTTATAACTCACAACTACTGGTACAGAGAACTATTCAATGCTAACAATAGGATACTAAGTATAGCATTATTTTTGTTTAGGAATTTAAAGTCATATAAGCTATATGAACGCCGAATTTTGTGTGAAACAAAATGATTATTAACTTAAAACACATGAAGTATAATAAAAAATAATGCTTTCCACAAAATTGTACTATAGATGTCTTTGTTATAACAAAACAATTAAACAATATCTAGGAATTAAGAATTCAGTCTTTCCATGAATATTGATAAAGGAAGTGCGTAAACAGTAGTTCTATAAATAGAAACACATGTCCACGGGAAATCACAGACAATTAACGAGGTATGTTGCATTTGTATAACAATTATTAATGTAAGGTTAATATGCGTCATAACAGAGAAAATGGTTGATACTGAAATACATTTAAAGATAAAGTACCATTAAGTATCCACGTCAAAAGTGAGATGCTGTTTTTCTTTTCGTTGCAGGATAATAAATAATTATAATTTGATAACTTTGTAACGCGTTTAATTTTAATGGTGTAATTTACAGTATTTTTGTAACTTTTATTGATAAACAAATTGTATCAATTTCAAATCATATTTTAACTGGCACAAGTTACAGCGTGTATAATTTTAACTGTTTTTGATCATATAAT